GGGGGGCATGTTTGTCTACCTTGTTTCTGCTGTAACCTCAACAAAACATGCTGCCACACATGTATATTCTTTTTTAGAATCCAATTCAAGGTAGGTAATTGTGGCAATTTAATCGCTGAAAATTATCACATTTCTGCCATTCCATTATCTTGGTCATTGATTATTTCTGTTAAAGCGCGGTGGTCGTCGCGCAGCACGTGTTCGAATTTCATGTAAAATAAACAATGTATTTTACATGCCAGGAGTCAGGAATCATGATTGCTTGATAATTTTGATTTTAAAATACTGCCCTCTAGAGTGTCTCTGAAATTTTTGTTTGTTTTTATTATTCTAGCACCTAATGTTGTTATGTTCACTTACAACGTTGGCAACGGACGCGTCATTGTGAAAAGTACAAATGACAACAATAAGTACAATGACAATGAGTGGCATCTTATTAAAGTTTCCCGTAATCGTAAAGAAGCAGTCTTGCAGGTTGATAACGAAAGTCCTGTTGTTGTGCAGGCTCAAAAAGGACACTATCTTCTCAACCTTCAAGGAGATCTCTATGTTGGTAAGTTGTTTTTTTCAATTTTAACATAACAAATAATATTCTAATGAAAGATGTGCGTCTGTGTGTGTCACCGAATTTTAGAAAAAAATGAAAAACAATTTTCATAAAATCAAAATTAAAGCACTAGTTTTAATGACAATTTTAGAAATAAAAATAGATGTGCACATACATCTTTTGGAAAATAATTGACCAGGAATTATTATATTTGTTTTTTCTGGGTTGTGAACACATACATCAAGAACGAGATGTGTGCGTCAATGGTTAAAATTAGTTAAATTAAATCAGTATATAATACCGTATTTGCTCTATTAGTATCACATGTGCTTACCATACTAGGACTTGTTACGTTTGCTTGCACACAAGATCAATGAACAGGCCAGAGTGAGCACTGAATCACCCCTGAAATTTAAAAGTATCTTGATTGCTTCAAAATGAAATAGATCATTTATTTTCATGAAAAGTAGCATATATATTGACTTTTTGAATTCTGTCTTTAATTATTTAAGGTTCAACTGATATCAGCACCGATGGATTTGTTGGGTGTATGCGAGCGTTGGTTGTGAACGGCGAAGTTATGGATTTGGCTGGCAAAGCTGCTGTCACTTATGGAGTGAGCCCTGGATGTGTAGGACGTTGCGACAGTAATCCATGTTATAATGGAGGTTCCTGTAACGAGGAGTATTCCAGCTTTGAATGTAACTGTACAGAAACTGCATTTGCCGGACCATTGTGTGCTACAGGTATGCCTAATTGATATAAAGATACTAAGGCCAAAGGAAATTTTTCTTCTTGTCAGAGAAAATTTAAAAATATTGCGACTGACAATTTATAATTTTTTTTTTTGTGTTAAAATTATTCAACATTTCACATTTATTAATAATTATCATGCATTGCAGGTTAATTTGAATTAAAAAATTTCCTCTTAAACAGAAAAACATTACCTCATTCTATCGTATGAGGCACACTTCACGTATAGTAGGTAGTGCAAATTGCACTAAAAATGTAAGGTGCGGTTTTAAAAATGTTGCACAAGATAAGAAGCAAAAACTTGTTTTCACTGCCTTTGTGCCTAACTTTATTTCTTAAAATCCATTGAGGTTTAGCGTCAATATATTTTTTATTAAATCGATACTATATGGCCCAAATGAATTTAAACCAAACATAATAAATGACATTTTCCAAACTCAATTAGGATGCTAGTTAATGTGACACATAGAAAAGATTTTATAACTAACTTAAGCAAGTTCACAGGGCTCTAAATTATCTTTGAATGCAACAATAGGTGGTAAATATTTATTGCATGATCCGTAAAAAAAAACCTCCTTCCTGTGAAGTCTTTGAGTTTTGTACAGTTTGAGAAAAGATTTCTAACAGAATCCTGAAATCAGATCAGAGAATTTGTCTAAAATGAAGTAAATTTGCCTTAACTTTTTCACCACCAGACTTTGTCACTATATTCTTCAATATTTCTGGAAATGAACCCTAATTTTGCAGCAAACGGACAAAATTTGAGTCAACTTTCAGTTTTTACTTTAAAATTTGGCTGTTTTTATCCCAATCTTCTGAAGGACTATGAAGAGGACTGTTCTATTGTGAATTTGTGATAAAAAGGGAACTGGTGGTGAAACGATTAAC